TTAATTATTATCTTGATAGACAGATAACTCATAGGTATTTATGAGTTATTTAAAATTTTAAGACTGGGTTAGGATATTAAGTTTTAAACCTTGCATAAAAATAAAGTTTAAATAAGTTAAGCTCTTATATCAAGGATAGGGTAAAAATATACTTACTATCCAGATTTTCACTATCTATATAAAGCTTTAATTATAGTTGTAAACTAATTGATTTTTTATATTAGATAACTAAATTTGCTAATTAATTAATTAAACCAAAGAAATTAATATGATTAGTCCAATTAAACAAAATATTTCAGAATTAAACTAAATTAATTAGTTGTTTTAATTTTTTTTAAATCAATTAATTAAAAAATTATTAACTAGTTGATTTTTAACTAAACAATTTAGATCACTAGCTTAGATATATAGTTAACTAGTTAATTTTTAGCTAAATGATTTAGATTATTAGCTTGAATATATAATTAACTATATAGATATCTAAATAAAAAATTTATAGATCCAAGCTCTATAATTAATAGATAGGATTTAGATATACTATTAATAACTTTTTGTATTCATTTGTGATATTATTTAAAACTAATTATCTACAAATTTAATAAATTAATAAGTTATTAAATACTTATATAAAGTATTTTATAAATAGAGGCAACATAAATAAAAAATTTAGTAGCTCTAAATACTTTTTTGAATTTTATAAAATTTTTTAAAAATTGGCTTTTTTTAGTCTTTTTATTGACAAATTATACTAGTAAATTTTATATTAAAAATTAAGTTTAATTTTTTAAAATTTAAACTTATATTATTTTTAGAATTATATTATTTTGTACGAATATGTTTTGCATACCCCATAAGATCTGGTGTAATATGAAATTAAAATAAACTAATGACGTATTAATTTAGAGTAAGGGTTAACACTAATTTATGATTAGGTTAGATTTTAGATAAATGCTAGTTATACCCAAAATTTTGCAAGAAATTTTTTTGTTAAAATGCAAAAAAGTGGTTTCATAAGCAAAATTATGAGTTACAAGTGATTTTTTCAAAATATTACTATTTTTTTCGATTTCACATTATATCTGATCTTTTGATCTGATTAGTCGATCAGGTGAGTACGTTACAACGCACATGCATTAAATTATATAACTTTTATTTTTAATATATTAACTTAATCTTAATAAATTTTATAAATTTGAATTAAAAACTTGGTTTAATAACTTTACTTAAAAATGTCGGAAATTATAAAACATACCATAGATATTGTAGGTGTTAATATATTTTTGGCTAAAATTTAGGGTTAGAGTGCAACTTTAAAGTAAGATAAGAATTATATAAAGATTCAAATTTTAAGTAGTATAAGGTTTTTTGGAAGCTTTGAATATTTTTACTTAATACCCCAGAGGTGTATTAGCTAGTATATTTTTGAGATATAATAACTATGATATTCAATACCTATGATATATTTTAGTAAGCCCAAAAAATTTAAGTAAAATTTATTTAATAAAATTTTTTTTAAGTTATAGTTAAAAACTAAAAACTAATATGAAATACTAAAAATAGTAATAATTTTCAACTAACAGCTTATAAATCTTTATAGTTAAAATAATATTTTTATAATATAACATATTTTTTATATAATTAAATTTTAAATTTACAAACTTTATTAAAAAATTTTTTAATAAAATTAATATTAGTAGCGTACTACACGTAGTACACTAAAACTTACAAAAAATAGCAGTTAAAAAAATTTTTTTTCTCAAAAATTTTATTATTAAATTTAAAAAAAATTCCGCTAAACTATACTTTGACAATTATCAGATTTTTGTATATTTAGATAAATAATTTTTTAGATTTTTAACCTATTCTTTTAAATGTACTACTGGTAGCACAAAAGCCTAAATCATTCATTAAAAAATTAAAATAGGTTATCTTAAAATCTAAAGCAATTTTAATATTTAAGATGTTCAAACTTTGTTCAAAGGCTGTCCCGTGACATCCTTGTTCCAAGGTATATATATATACGGTATACGTATAAATAAATATCCGTATCCCCGGTGGATTTACTTTGCATGGTCTTGTACGTACATCTTAAATAATAAAATTGTGACTGCAGATCATGAGAGCACAAAAACTTATATAAATGGATTTTAACTTTTCGCGGGAATTTTTATTAATCATTATTTCCTTATAATTAGAACAAGACAATGACCGAAAATAATAAACAATTACAATATGAAGAATTATCTTTATTAATATCCATGTTTAACGATAATGAATTTAAGTGGGTTGGCGATCAAGACCAATTGGAACATTGGAAGGTTAATTAAACATCAAAATTTGATGCATCGAAAAAAGAAAATGCCTAACGTTGTTTATCATCGTCTAGTCTGCAATAGACAAGTTTATGTCAGCTCATGTTTCTGGCTTAGATGTTTCTCCCTTTCGATTTCGAATTTTACTGGATATGCGTGAAAATTGGTTCAACGTGTTTCTACCTTGTCGATATCCCGAAATTAGACCAGAATGTTACTTTTCATCTGACACAGTCACTAGACAAACATGGACTGAAATAAATCAGGAAATTGAAAAAAAGCTGAATGAAAGATGTGATGGAGGTTTGTGTCGATTTTCAATTCTATTAATTCTATTTAGAATGTTCAGTGTAACATTGAACCACCATGTGATAAAATACGTGTATCCATCTAAAATTGCTAACCTTTTTATTTATTTCATTTTGTAATAAAAGAATGCTGTATATTTGATATTTATCAACATATAAAATCATTCTTGCAGCAACGGGATATTGCAGAAACATCAATCTCTGAGCTTTCTCAAATTGATGAAAAAAAAGGATTGTTCGTTTAAAATCTGCCGAATCTTGATATGGACACATCATTTGTTGTCATTTGAAAAGAGAAAGTGTATATGTCGATGAGCTAATGAATTAGAAATATGGGGTACGTACCTAACTTTTTAATGATCTTACCGAGGGCTTTTCTGATTGGTTACATAATTATAAGGGTTTTCAAAACCTGGGTACCCCGGAATAATTATCGTGGAAGGATTATATGATAATGTTCAAGATTACGTTTCTAGATTAAAGGTACGTACTTGGTGTTTATCTAGATAAATAATTACATAAAATTATGTTACACTTTTTAAAATCATTTAAAACGTTCAAGAGTTTAAGATGGCAAGCGATTACTGTCCTCTCAGAAGAGTCAGAAGTAATCTATAATTTACCATTGCATGATCATGATAAATTTGTAAAACTAAGATTGGGACGTATTAAACCTGGGGTTTCTGAATTTGAGAGCATGTCAGAAATGACTTCAAAGTATGTATAATTTTTATAGACAACCGTATTTAGAAATTTTATAACTTATTGTTGATTAATCATACATGTCTATGCTATTTAAAGAATGAAAGAGGCAGGATTGGAAGAAATGTTTTTGTCAGCTATGAAGATTAATAAAAAATCAGACAAATCATTAACATAAAAAGTGCATTGATATTATAGAAATTCATATTAATCCAATCACTAAATATATGCATGTATTAATTTTTATAAACCCATAACTACACATAATTACATGTCGAGTGTTATTTATAGGTACGAAACATAGTTGTACGATACCCCGTCTGATTCCCTAATGGGCAAGTTGCATGTAAAAAAGTGTATCTTCAGCCATCATTCGTTCAAGGGGTGTAACATTATGTTTCGTATTTCTTCTAACGTTCGTTCGGCCTAAAATATTCTTAGTACCACCGCATTTTCAATACAATGCAAATTTATTTATGCGAACTTGACAACATTTATAGTAAACGTATTAAGTATGTGTGCAACTGTTTACATAACTTCCATGTATGACTGGATTATATTACCAACCTTAGTTATTTGCAAGACAAGAAACCCCGTTTTGAAATTAGCATCCCTTTTTCACATTTTTTGTTCAACATTTATTTTTATTTTTTATTTTTATTTTTATTTTATTTTTTTTTTTCTTGAGTTTATTCCTTCTATTTTTTTTAATTCGCGCTTTTGTTGTTGAACATCGAAAAGCAACGATACCTTTATTATCTTGACTTTCCATATTAAAAATCTCTCTTTCCTTTACCGCTTTAAGACCGTTTAAAGGTTATCTAATTTTAGCTGGTTTTTGAAACAATAATGCTTGCCTTCGCTCCTATTGGCATATAACATATTTTTATTGAAACCGGGGTCTTCCTTTGTCGACAATAACAACTTTGTTCAACAGCTTAATTTGAGGAATAAACACCGAAAGGCTGCTACTTATTTTTTTTTATTTTTATTTTTTTTATTTAGTATCAGCCACATCTTTTCGTTAGCGTATTTTGTCTGTTAACCGTTTCTTTTAATCAAGCTATAAGAAAAACGAAGCACTATAGCTTTTAATTTAGAGGTGCTTTATTTCTGGCCAAAATACTTAATAGCGTATAGTTCAGAAAATATTATCGTTGCACCCTTTCGCCATCTCGATTTCATTTAACGAAAAAAGGCAAGAGATTTATTTAATTAATACAACCATTATCAAGAAGCATCTCAACAACATAAAAGAAATGGGTGGCCAACTCACAAAAGAACAAGCTCGTTTGCCTTTCGGATATGTTCCCAAGTCAATACATCATCAGCGACAATGCATATCAGGCTTAAATCCATCAACATTACGGTCTAACGTACATCCGTCTTCAGATAATCCCGAAACGCTCTTTAATGACATTGGTGAATTTAATGGTACTTCTCACACCATGTCTAGTCGTCCTATTTCAATAACGCCTGTTGGTGAAACCGCGTCGATTATTACCGTAACAACAGATACTATTTCACCTGAAGTTATGATGGATGTGGATAAACCAGAAGATGATAATTCTTGTTGTCAAGGGTTGATGAATGGAATGATACCGGATGAATTTAATATAAATGCTGATTTGTGTCCAATAGTATTCAGCGAATTACAAAATTTTAAAAATATTGGACTTTGTCGGCGCGGTCTTGTTAAATTAAGTCCCAATATTTGTTTCTTATATGTGACAACATGTTTACAAATGTAAGTAAAAAGAAAAAAAAAATAATAATAATCAATAAATATATGTATATTATAAAATGGGAAAATATTCAAATATATAAATAATTTTTTTTTTTTTTATAGATGTTGCAATGAATTGACCGAAATACCCGCAGAAATCGGTTATATGAAAAATTTGACAACACTTGACGTTTCTAAAAATCGATTGGAATTTATTCCGGATACTATTGGATTTTTGTACAAGTTGCAGGAATTAAAATTGTCAAATAATCAATTAACATGGATACCGTCTTCCATTGGTTCTCTCAAGAAGCTCGGTACGCTGTTGCTTGATGATAATAAAATTACAGAACTACCACCAGAAATTGGTCAAATGAAGACTCTAGTCCATTTGGATGTACGAGATAACCCGCTCACAGTTTTACCTGCTGAACTTGGACGGCTTCAACAACTTCGGAAATTGCGAACTGATGGATGCCCTTTAAAAACAGAATTTGTACATCAACTTACGCATTCTCCACCGACGTTGATGGAACTTGCTGCACGTACTATTGTTCGACTTCAAGTTCCAATATTAGAAGATACAACTGATCATATAAAAGATTACCTTGCTAGTGCTAAAAAATGTAGTTTTTGTGCCGGTCCTTATTTTGAAAGTTACACAAAACGCGGTAAAATCATTGATAAGAACGAACAGCATATTCCCCTCGAATATCGTTTATGTTATCCTCACTGGAACACTGAACAGGAACGTGTTAGTCTATTATTTTGCGCATTACCTGATACAGCACCTAGTCCTGAACCATACAAACATCGTCGTAGTATGACTGACAAGTCATGTGATGGAAACTCTGTAGTGAGCGTCTCATCTAGTACACAGGAAAAAGTTCAACGACCTCCCGTAAGACGTTCCATGACTATTCCTCTCAGCTCCCTTACTAGGTCGCCTTCTTTACCTAGTTTGCCAAGATCTGCGTCTCCACGACCTACTGATGACCGACTGCAAGATGATGTTGGTATAAAAAAGAGCAATAGCTCCCGTGGTCGCAATGTGGGTGTATCATTGTGGCGTTCAAAAAAGAATAGCGCTTCATCTACTATTCTTGGAAAGTCTACGCGCGATAATCTACGCCTAAGTTCCCGATGGCGTTCATAGTCGAATGTTTTTTTTTAATATCAAACAATAATTGCCTATTTTTGAAAAATTACTTCCTTTTTGTTTTGTTGATGGGATGGACATTAATCTTTGCAATAATAGATTACGAATTTAATATGCGCGTGGGGGATAATGTACATATTATTCCTTTTTATTTTATATTCCTTTCACGCGCGTAATTGATCTTTCTTGTGTAATTCATTCACCATAATATGTATATTTCAGTCCTTTTTTTTTTTTTTTTTTTTTTTTTTTCCGGCGCATGTCTCAA